CTTACAGGAGCGACCAAACCAAGGCTGAGATCTGCCTCCGATGGGTACCACAGATGATGGAATAAATAGTTCCATTCCCTGTAGCACCACAACAGTGACAGAGTCAGCAACAGCGCTGGGATCATCCGGCGAGAAGCAAACCCGCCCCCATGGGTAGGATGCAAAGAAGGACCGCATTCCGTCCCAATCCGCCGACCTGTAATTCCAAACACGGCGGCAAACTGCAGAACGCAACCGCGAAGGGAGCGTGAGTGGCACCACACTCCGGATCAGACAATGGTCCGAAGAGCCGAGAGGGGCATCGACGGAAACCTGATATCCGTCCGGATGAGAGGTCAGCAGAAGGTCCAACAGGGAAGGTGTATGATCCTCCACATCTGGAATCCGCGTAGGTGAAGTAACCAGTTGTGTCAGACCATATGCCAAGGCAAAATCATAAACAGATCTCCCCGCATGATCGGTTAGACGTGAAACGAGCCATTCGGTATGGTGGGCATTAAAATCGCCAAGGATCACGATCTCTGCGGATGGGACCTGTTGTAGCAAGAAATCTGTAGCCATTTGGTCGTGGTCGATGAGTCGGTCTGTTTCGGCATTACCGCTATGGGACCTATAGAGGCACCCGTAGACGCGCGGATGGTCGTCGCTGTCTACGCGTAGCCAAAGGATGGACAGGTCCGAACCTTCAAGACTGCCGAGGCGTCGAGAACAGATGTCCTCTCTGACATACACGCAAACTCCAGCCCGAGGCACAAAGGAATGCTCCAATTTGTACCCCGGGTAGGAGAGATACGAAATATCAGCCGGAGAGGAAACCTGCGTCTCGGTCAGAAAGAGCAAGGCCGGCTTCGCCATCTGGAGATGGTAGTGGACGGCGTTTAGGTTAGAGTGAAGTCCCCTGATGTTGCAGAAATTCACGGATAGCGTGGCAGGGGTCGCTTCGGTGTTCTTGCTGAGTTTGCCCCTAGCAGTAATGCTTTTGAGCGGAATTTTGCTCCCCCCAAAATACGCGGGGCAGCCTGAGCACCCACGCTCAGGATCGGAATAACATGGTCGTGGATGCTCAGCGAGGGATTCTCCAGTGGTGCTGGTACCCTCCTGGGGTAGTTCTTCGTGTAATTCCGCTACCATGTTGATGGGGGGGGGGGGGGGGAATTGGGCCTCCGGCCACCTGCACTCACCAGACGAAACGCAGAAGCAAAGCTTCTACTTCACGCCGGTATTCTGTGAGGTCGTGGTACTAACCCGGCTCGAGCCGGCCCATACATGCAACAGCAAAAACTGCTGCGTGGCTCTACCACCGTTAAAATGAATTTCTTCGAACGTGAACGTCTTTATGAATTGATATGATTTATAAAGCTTCCAAAAAAAGTTGCATTTTTTTTCATAAGCATAGTTAATCAAAGAAAACGTATTCAAAATCATATATATTCTCTTGACCTATTTATCTATTATTTCACTGTTAAAAAAAATCATATTTGTAAATACTTGTTTTTTGTATTGTTAATAGAATAAATGTGACAGTCAACGGACACACAGTCTACCTGATGGTAAGCAGATGCTGTTATCTTCAATTAAGAATCAAAATGCAGATGCGTTGTCACCACTAAGGGCATAATAGAATGCCTCGTATTCAGTAGAAAGGATGTCCAGTTCTCTATACTCGCCATACGAAACCCAGCAGCACTTAGCTGCTATTTTACGTTGGTATTCTGTGAGAAAATGCAGCCGTATTATAGTTATAGCAACAACTATAATACAACTGCAGAATGGCTCTACCACGTGTAAATGTTATTGTAAATATTTATTTATATATTTTATATGTATGTGTGTATGTAGATATCTTCTATGTATTGGTGGTTTTGTTTTATTTAACAAAATCTATATACTATAATAGTGTGTTCCTCTTATTTATTATACATTTGATGTAAAAGCTAGTTGATATTATTAAATTTGGACGTGCCAGTAACGTGAATTTCTTCGATAAAGATTTCGTGGACTGTGTTGGTATTAAGAGTATACAACAAGCAGAGCGAGGAAAGTGGTTATAGAAATAACCTTGTGAGGGACTGCCTCGCCTTCCTCCGGGGGTATCAACTAACAGAGCAGGTCCGCCACGTAAATCGGCGCACGCACTCTTAGATCAGTTCCAGGATGTCACACACCTTAAAACTCGACTTATTGTAATCGCAGAAGGCGCATCACATTTGCGAAATTACTAGAACTCAATTTCCGGTGATAATTAATATTAAAGAGGACATCGAAGGACGCAATGTCTCTCGTGCGGTCGCGGTTGTTAATCAATTGGAAATAATTGCCACTGCGTGACGCTTGCGTTGCCTTCAATGGCTTCACGTGCATATAGAAATGATGAGGGGAAGGAGGGGTTAAAGATATAAACTAAGTATTTTATTAGATTTATAAATGAAATGGCTAACTAACGTTAACATTTCCTCCCGGCCTTAAAGGGTCACCTTTAAAAGACAACCGTGATACCGATGATAAAGAGAAAAAGAAACAAAAAAAAAACAAAAATAAAGATAGTTATACAGTATATAGAATAACCAAATATACTTCCAGCCTCTCAAACTAGTTGGTTTCCGAAAAAGCTTTAGCACCATGGACCACATATATACCGAAGAGTACAATCTACCACTTTGCATTGCGTATGTGGACTATGAGTAAGCCTTTGATTTCGTCGAAATTTGGGCGGTGCTGCAGTCCCTTTAGCTAAGCCAAGTGGACTGTCGGTATATCGAAGTGCTGAAGTGTTTATATAGTAGGGCTACGATGACTATCCGAGTACAGAACCGGAGTACGAAACCCATCCAACTGCAGAGAGGTGTATGATAGGGTGACGTAATATCCCCGAAAATCTTCACCGCTGCATTGGAAGACGTTTTCAAGCTACTGGATTGGAAAGGATACGGTATTAACGTCAATGGCAAATCGCTATGGAAGAATCGCTGGAGGACCTAAGCACTATGCTCAATGACCTCAATAGTATCTCCCAACAGATAGGTCTTAAGATGGACAAGAACAAAACAAAAATCATGTTTAACGTCCATGTCACACATATGCCGGTGGTTGTAGGGAGCACTAAGCTCGAAGTTATTGATGAATATGTTTACCTGGGACAAATAGTCCGTCTAGTTAAGTCCAATTTTACCGATAGGTCAATCGACGGATTCAATTCGGCTGGGCAGCGTTCGGGAAATTACGTCCCAACTTCTCGTCAGGTATACCTCAAAACTTGAAAACGAGACTGTACAACCAGTGCTTGATGCCAGTGATTACTTATGGAACTGAGACTTGGTCCTTCACTGTTGGCTGGATGAGGAAGCTCAAGGTCACTTATCGAGCTATGGAGAGGGCTATTCTCGGAGTTTCTCTGTGTGATAGACTTAAAAACGAGGATATCCGCAGTAGAACCAGAGTAACCGAAGTAGTCCAAAGAATTAGTATGATGAAGTGCGAATGGGCCGGCTTTATAACTCGAAGAACCGACAACCGATAAAGAAGAAAGGTTCTCGAATGGCAGCCTCGTACCGGTAGGCGAAGTGCTGGGCGTCCCCCCACTAGATGGAGTGACGACCTGGTAAGACATGCAGGAAGTCAATGGATGCAGGTGGCTCGTGTCATTCCTTGGGTGAGGCAGTGGACTTGTGAAGGGCTATACTAATCTAAATCCTACAAAAACACACAAAGAAGCAAGACAATGTCGTGACCGTAATCGTGCTTAAATTTATAAAAGATACATAATGTAGCGGAAAAGTTTTGCCTAGGTCGCATCTAAATCAGAATTTCCAACGTCCTTGTTTGACACTTATGGGACTAATAAGTCTCTTTAAACCTTTGAGTAGGCAGGTGATGGATCTGGTTTCGTGAATATTTTATTGAATCTTTCATAGTCGTATATTTAGATAATAGCAACAGAACATTAATTGTTAACATTTATTATTTAGAAAACACCAATTTATCTGTAAATATTATATTTACAAGTCAAAATTTTAAGTAACCTTTACTTTTAGATCATTTGCACATTTATCTCTGATATAAACAGAAAATACTTAAAAACTTTTATAAAACAATTTGATTCTTTCAATCAAAGACTAAGCATTTTAAGTTACCGAGTTCCGGCATCAAATTAAAACGGCGAAAATTCATATTATATTATTAACTTGAATTTTAAACTTTATGTATGTATCAATGTACATATTTCTCAATGTGTGTACGTATGAATTCTATTGGGTTTTATAATTCAACTTAACTGTTCTCTTTTTAATTATTATTATAGAATAAGAGTTCCAAACGTGTACACAGTCCACCTGATAGTAAGGGGATGTTGTGGAAGATCCTGTAGTTCATAGACACATGTCACTCCTGAGGACTACAATGGAATACCTCTTAGCCAGTAAAAAGAGTATTCGGTACTCTACACTCACCATACGTAACACAGCTGCTATTTTCCACCGGTATTCTGTGAGAGCGTGGTCTTTCCCCGGTCGAGCCGACCCATTCGTGCTACAATTATACAGTTAATATAGCTGCAGCATGGCTTTACCACGTATAAAAACTACATTTACTCACAAACGTCTCAATAATCAGAAATTTTGCAGACGTATTAAGAACCAGTAATAATGTGTACTATAATTTCATGATTATGACCTAGTATTCCCCCTAGGAACATTACAGGCTTATGTTCAATGCGTGTTGTTAATTTTTTTAAACGAATATTTTATTTAGTTTCTTGCATCGCACAAGCAACTAATATTTTGTAGTTAATAATTCATGTCAAAAATCACTAATAATGATAACACTAATCCACTGGAAAACCTAGAAATGAACTAAAAAAAATCCACTGCAGTTTTTAGAGGTCCATGCTCTGTAGGATAATGTTACGTGCTAATGAAAAGAAGAATTATTTTAAATAATTTACTTTTATTATATACAATCGTATTAGGTATGTCTGTTTTATATAACAATCATTCAGTCTTCAATCAGTTGTTTTCATCCTTATTTCTATTCCTCACATTCGTGTAGGTCATGTCCATAGTGTGGGCAGGTGAACTAACATCCTTGAATTTATCATCTGTGGATTGAAATATTTATTTTAGTGATACTCAATTTATTGTTTTATATAATTGTACGGATCAAGATCTTTGTCATCTTTTTAATGTACTTTATATTTGTGCAAATACTAAACATTGATTACATTTTGTTCCGTATAAAACAGACCAGCTTCTGGAAAGGAGGATTCGATAGGCTATTGAAATAAAGTATTAACAGAGTATAGGTTCAAAACAAAGTGTAGGTATTTGAATAAGGATATAAGTGATATAAAGTTATATTTTAAATGATATCATACCACTACAAGACTTAATATAAAATAACTTCATTCTGTATAGATTTGACCAAAGTTAATAATAAAAAGTTGAAGATAATCCACCCTATTTATCTATACCTCAGGATATTGAAAACTACTTTTACGGATTCTATCGCTTTTAATTAACAGGGAACTGAGGTGATTGACGTCCCGATGTCCGAATTAACCCGGAGTCCCTTTTTTTGTTAGTTTTGGTCCGATCTACACAAAATGAACATACTGTGTCTTGAAGTCTTGCAGTGGTATGCTTGGGTTTAGTTTCAATTTTATGAATTACAGGATCCCAAGCAGGTGGTAGTACCCAGCTACCCTCATTGTTGAAATTAGGATGTTTTTTAATTTCAATTGCCTCACGTATCATCCTTGGCAGGAATCGATGTTTTTCGCGAGAATTTGTGGTTTATCAAATCTAATGTAATTGGCGGGGGCCGTCTAGGGTATGATCACAAACTGCAGACTTCCCGGAACGTTGGTGCTTAACGTCAGCTATGTCTTCTTTTACGCGGGTTTTATTGATCGTTTTGTTTGCCCTATATATGAGAGACCACATTCACAATCAAGCTTATACACTCCTGCATCTTGTAGAGGAATATTGCACTTGACGGATGGTAAGAACTGATCTCCTTCGGCGGCTTGAAGAGTGTTCTAATAGAAGTTTGCTTCAAGATGTAGCCAATATTGTCTGTGCACCTCTGATATATGGTAGTACACCAGGCACACGCTCGACTGTGGCTTCACTCGGTTACTGTGACGTAGGCGCGGGACTCAAAGCTTGTTGTCGTGCAGAACCTGCTTGAGGTGCTAAAGCTCGGGGGCCAGGTGTTTGCTATCACAGATCACTCGTGCTCTCTGTAACAAAGACTTGCCCACGGTAGCTAACTGTGGATGATGATGGTGGGATTCACCGTTTGAATATCGGTTTGTATGGGTCTTTTTTCTATACACAGTATGAACGAAGATGTTTTTAGGTTTTCGGATGACTATTTTTTAGTTTTAGTTTAGTTTACAATGGGCTGTACGTAGCGACCTCTGGACATTTCAGTAGCACGTGGGCCGCCGTTTCTTCCTCCCCCATACATGCCCTGCAAAGGGGACTATCTGTAACACCTATAGTGAACATATGTTTGTTAAAGGTGCCGTGTCCTGTGATAGCACTTGTTACTATCCTGATCTGCGGCTTGTACAGTCTCATTAAAACTTTGGTTAAGCGACTGTTTATTTCAGGCAGGGCCTCCCTAGCTTGTCTGCAGTCTACTAGATTTTTCCAAAGCTGAGCGTGTTGATTAGTGAAGTATCTACGTACTAGTGAACGAACGTTACCAAAGGGGATTGGTATGATTGGTTCCGGCCCTATATTGGCTAGAGCCGATACTCTTCTGGCCAGTTCGTCTGCTGGATCGTTGCCTCTGGATCGATTGTGTCCCTTTATCCATTGCAGAGTCACATTGTTGTTTTTACATACCTCATTTAATCGTTGATGGCATTCATATATTAGTCCTGAGTTCACCACATTGCAGCTCAGAGCTTGTAGTACCGCCCTACTGTCAGTCAGTATTCTGATAGGGAATTCATTAACCTTCCTAGCATCTATTGTTATGTCCACTTGAGTGATACCCATACATTCCGCCTGAAAGACTGTGTTATAGGTACCCAGCGGTGTGCATATGTGGTTATTGAGGTCTTTAGAGAAAGTTCCAGAACCTACATCTTCATTTGTTTTAGAACCATCGGTGAAAACTCTAAGCTCTTTTGGACTTAATACTTCCGGCTGGCTGGTTTCATTTAATTGTATCTTGTACTTCTTATTGAAAACAAATTGTTTAGGAATTTTAGCGTACTTAGCTTGTAGGATAGGAATTTTTGAGTGAATTCTATCAATTATGCCTGTATGAGGGACAATATTCTTACTCCAAAGATTTAGGGCCTTGAGTCTGGTGGCAGCTAAAGTCGCTTCTTTTTGTATATGTAGATGAAGCGGGGTTAGCTCCAACATCGCTTCTAAGGCTGCTGTTGGCGTAGTTCTTATGCAGCCTGTCGCAGCCATAGATGACAGTCTCTGGTAGCGCTGAAGCTTCTTTATAGTGGTGGCTTCATTTGTCTTGGTCCACCATACCAGAGCGCCGTATGTGATAATAGGCCGAATTACAGTTTTGTAAAGCCACAGTATGATTTTTGGCGTCAGTCCCCATCTGTTGCCAATCATGTTTCTGCATTGCCAGAGAGTTATACTAGCTTTGTTTATTTTGTTTTCTATCTTTATTCAAGTTAAATTTGCTTTCCAAGGTAAGACCTAAATATTTTACCTCAGAGGATAGCTAGAGTTTTGTGCTGAGAAGACTTGGAAGATGATAGTTATTCAGCATTCGTCTTTATCGGAACATTACTAGAACCGTTTTATTTGGATTGACGGTTAAGTCGTATTCCCTGCACCATCTCTCCACTATTCGGAGAACCGCTTGGGTCAGGTCAAAAACTATACCTGCTGTCTTTTCAGAGACCAGTATTGTCAGGTCATCAGCATAACCTGCTGTGTAGAAGTGATTGGCATTTAATTTGCTGATGAGTTCATTGATGACCATATTTCACAGGAGAGGTGAGAGAAGCCCACTCTGCGGGCAGCCTTTCTTGATTTGGAATTGAATTTCAACTTTATGTGACTGAGTGCACCTTTTATGCTGGAGAAGTTCGTTCTGTCAAAAGCATCTTTTATATCTATGAAGGGACCTAGACATATTTATTTGTTTTGGATGGCCTCTTCAATCTTTGTAATTACCTGGTGAAGTGTCGATTCTATTGATTTGCCTAGACTAGGTGTGTTGCTTGTCGTGTAGTGGTAAGTTCATTAGCGTCGATCCCCTTAATTCCCTTTCACACATCATCTCCATCGTCTTTAGGAGAAAGGATGTGAGGCTAATGGGCCTTTAGGATTTAGGGCCAGTGTAGTTGCTCTTACCTGCTTTTGGTATGAATGTGACTTTCACTTCCCTCCATCCCTAGGATCATATTTAGTATGTGGTCATGCCGGTTTGACTCCTGAGTTACGCAGCAACCTGGAAAGTTCGTTTCAATTAGGATGCGTTGGGCTTCATCCGGCGATGTTGAGTAGCTACCGTCGAGTTTCTTTAGAGAGATGGATCCCAACGTGTTCTGTTTAGCTAGAATATTCCTTATCCAATTTGCTTGTTGACAGGTTTCTATGTTGCCACAGAATTTACGCCGCCCAGTCGACCACCTGATACATTTTTTGTATTCAGATTTAGCTTTCTTGTATAGTAGCCAGTCTTCATCCATTGAGGTATTCATGGCCCTATATGGCTTTTCTTACCTTCTTACGTTTCCTATCTAGTTCTGTACCCCACCGCAGTTGCTTTACCTCAGCATGCCTTGGTGAAGTGATTTCTGGACATGATTCATGGTAGCTATCTATCATGGCCTTAGTAACAGCTGCTACCTGTTCTTCTAGGAGCAACTGATCTGCTATAGTATTTGTCCCCTCAAAACCCGCGAGCGAAGACGTCGGCCTGTTAAAGTATTTTGTTTCATCCGTCTTGCGAGGATTTCTACATGGTGGTGTAGCGGGGATATCAACCTGTAGTGCGAAGCAGATCCATCTACGATCTAAGCATGAGGCCTCTCTCGACGCATGTCATCCCGTAATTAGTTTAGCTGCTCCTTCTGTTGAAAGTGTGAGGTCGATTATTGTGCGACAGCGTTTGTTTATGAAAGTTGGTTCAGAACCTATGTTTAAAATGATTAGGTTAGTGCTACATAGATTTGGATGACTAATATATCTAGGAAAGCTAAAGATTTATTTGTAATTCCATAGTGAATTGAGTTTTACAGTTTATGGAATTAAAATGTTCCAAAAATGCAGTTATATTGTCTGATGGTAAAATTGTGGAAGTAACGTCTTCGTAGCGCCAGTAGAACCTTGAAGTTACAGGTGCAGTAAGTACAATATATAAGTGCAGTGCTTTCTCCTCAAAGTCCTCCAAGAATATATCGGCGACAATGGGAGATACCGGTTAGCTCATCGCACAACGCCATCTACTTGCTTGTTAACTCTTGCTTCCACTATAGAGAGCCAGAGGAGTAATACTGCATATTCTGCTGGCATGTTGTTTTCCTCTAGTTTCGAGATGCAGTCTTCAACAGGTAGGCATATAAATAGAGACTGAACATCAAAACTGACCATGGTTTCAATATTAGTCAGACATAGGTTTTTCATCTCACTGACAAAATCGTATGAATCCTTAGTGTGTGCTCTTTTGTGTTATCTGAGTGGTGATAGTATATTTACTAAGTTTGTGCGAAGAATCGTGAGATCTGGTCTGTTGCGTAAGTTTTTTAATGCATTAAATTCATCTTTGGGAAGATTTGATTTCGGCCCTGAGCTTCGACGTAACAAAGACGAAATGTCTTGACGTATGGCCTCTAAATCTTCATTAATAATGTAATTTTTTTATACAGACAGTCCTCAACACTACAGATAATGTTTTCATACGGTATTTTTCGCGGTGTTAATGCGAAATTCATAACTTTATGCAAATTTTTTACTGTCCCGTCGTCCACAGATTGTTTTGACAGATCATAGACCGCACGTTGTTTATTACTTGCGTCTGTTGTCAATGGTTACGTTCCGTTCTTACGCTGACATTGATGTTGGACATTTTGATTTGGTTGATAGCTGTCGGTATTTATCTAAATATTTATATTTGCATTCATAGTATTTAGTTATTTCACGATTATCTAAAGTTTCCATGCAATCCCTATAATAAAATGTCGATAAAGCTGTCTTTTAGTCATAATAAAAGAAATATATATAAACATATAAAAATATAAATAAAGAAATACATATAATACTCATAAGAAAAAAGACCCATACGAACCGATATTTCAACGATGAATCCCACCATCATCCTTCACAGTTATCTACCGTGGGCAAATCGTTGTTACAGAGAGCACGAGGGATCTGTGACAGCAAACACCTGGCCACCGAGGTTCAGCAGGTCAAGCAGGTTCTGCACGACAACAAGCTTCGGGTCCCACTCCTACGTCACAGTGACCGAGTGAAGCTGGCCACAGTCGAGCGTGTGCCTGCTGTACTACCATTTGTCAGAAATTTCACAGACAAGATTGACTACATCTTGAAGCGAGCTTCTATAATAACATTCTTCGAGCCACCGAAGAAGATTAGTCAGTTCTTACCATCCTTGACTGACTGCTTGTACACTCCTGCATTTACAAGGTGCAAGAGTGTTGTGGAGCTTGATTGTGAATTTGTTTCTCATATATAGGGCAAATAAAACGATCTAACAATACCCGCGTAAAAGAACACATAGATGACGTAAAACACCAACGTTTCGGAAGTCTGCATTTTGTGATCATGTCCTAGACGGTCCCCGTCATTACATTAGATTTAAAAAACCACAAGTTCTCGCGAAAGAACATCTATACCTGCCGATAATGTTACGCGAGGCAATTGAAATTAAAAAACATCCTAATATCAACAAAGAGGGAGGCGGGATACTACCACCTGCTAGGGATCCTAAAACTAATAAAATTTAAACTAATCTCAAGCATACCACTGCAAGACTTCAGGATACAGTAAGTTCATTTTGCGTAGATCGGACCAAAACAAATTAAACAAAAAAAGGAAAAAAAAGGCACTCCAGATTAACTCTGACATATATATCCAGGTTTGGTGGAGACTACGTTCATTTAGTACCACATTCCTTTCACATCCATATATGTCGAACAAAATCATGCACGTTGGTGAAGGGTATTATTAGTTTGGCCCTTGCGTCTAGGGCGTCCCTTGCCGACTCTGTTATTCACTTCTGCAGCATAAATTTGCTTTGCAAATATTTCTTTATGCATTATTTTGACGTGACCAAACCACCAAAGTCCAAAATCCTGATACGATATCATCTTGAAAACCATATTTTTCTCTGAATGACGCCTGATTTCTCATGGTTCATCTATACATTCTATAGATATTAACATTTTACATATATTATGTACATCATTTACAATCAGTAACAATTGTATGTTAAATAAAAGTCTATATACCTATAATAATAATGTAATAAGGTTTAAAATTTTATTTGATGTAACGTACCTTGTACTACATAGCTGCCGCCTTTTAACCATCTTGCAATAGAATTCTTTTTGGCTACAATAATTATAACGAGGAAAGCTATTAGCACAAACAATGCGATCAGTATATAAATCCACATCGAAGTCCTGCAATAAAAATAATTCACATTTTAATTTTAGAGAACGAGGTTGCTCGTGTATGTAGGAGATAATTGAAACCTGACTCCTTACACGTGTTCCCCAGGAAGTGCTGAACAAGCAACACCAATTTCGGTGGTAGGTTTCGGCCGCTGGCTTTTTGGCTACCACCTATCAATGCAAACTCTTGTCACCAAATGACGTTGTCATGTTGTTGTCATGTCATGATGTTTGGTGAAGCAATATGGAGAATGGGTCTGAACAGTAGCGTTGTGTGTGAACCGGGTGTGAATCGTCAGTTGTTGCTATGTCAGATGCTTAGTCGTGGGAGGTAGCGGGATCGGAAGCACGGTGTTCCGTTGGCCGACCGCAGGTAGTTGGGGGCCCAATTAGTGAATTACCTAGTCATGAAAGGCTGCCCCGCAAACTAGCGAAAAATCCCAGGGTGGCTCCATCGTGCCGGTTAAAGACCGGGCGAGAGAACCCGATGAGATCTCTGGGAGGTTCGGGCGTTTCCGCAGTCTCTAGGTCAAGTTTCTATGGGCGCAGTAGCTCTGGTAGTATCATTCTCGTTCAACTGCCATTATTCATCCTTATTCACTCTTAACTCTGTCAATATGTGTCTTAAAAGAAAACTAGAGCTAAACAGCGGTGGCAAGTCCTCTCACTAAAATTGCACCTCACTAATATTCGAGGGTTGCACTCTAATCTCAACGCAGTCCATCAACACTGATGCTGAAAGAGAAGCCTGGAATTTCGCTTTGACGCAAGGTCTTTCTCAGATAGTAAAGGAAGTGACTAGGGTACCTGATGTAGCCGGTCAGCTAGCCAATTGCTTGGACCTTCTGCTGATTACCGAACCAGACTGGTATGAAGTACAGGTTACCTCTCTTTTGAGTACATCTGACCGCTGTCTGGTGTGTCGTCATATTCTCTCAGAGTCTCAAGGTGTTCGACAAATATGGCGGTATAAGTCAGCTGATTGGAATGAGATGCCACACATTTTTGCATCTTATCCTTGGCAGGAGGTCTGTTTCTCTTCTCGGGATCCGTCGAGTTGCGCGTATGCGACAACCGATGTATTGCTTTAAACTATGGATTATTTTATCCCCTTTTCTGACGCTCCCATCGGTAGCAAAGCTTACCCATGGTTTTACACTGAATGCGCCTTAGCTAAAAAGCGCAAGCATTTAGCGTACTTATTTTGGGTTGACGCTTGAAACCGAAAAACTCCGGATGTTAGCTCCAAGAAGAGAACTTTCAACCAGGACGCCAAGTCCAACAAAAAAGCATTACGGAAAGCTAGTTATGACTGCATAAAAATATGCCCTAGACCTACACTGCCTCCGATGGTAAAACAGGATGGCACACTGGCGCATACGGCTAAAGAGGAAGCGGACTTGTTTGCGTCTCTATTTGCCTACAATTTACGTCTAGACAGTGGCAGCAACATTCCACTTAATTTACCTCACTGCGGAACCTCTATATCGAAGGTTAATATCACAACAATTATGAAGACCTTTCGGTGTCTAGACGTAAAAAAAGTTAGTTAACCAGATCGTATACCAACTATAGTTCTAACGGCTTGTGACACACTGTTCCGCCTCCCATTTAGGGCTGGAATAGTGCCGAAATGTTGGATGCTGGCCAACGTGCAACCTGTTCCAAAAAAGGCAGCCGTGCCGACCCTGCCAATAATCGGCCAATCTCAATTACCTCCATACTTTGCAAGATTATGGAGCGCATATTGCACGGCCGTTTACTGGCATACCTAGAAAAAATTGGTATTCTTAGTGACCGGCAATATGGGTTTCGCCGAAATTGGTCAGCCGGGGACCTTCTAGCGTATGACACACACGTATGGGGCGAGGCACTCGAGAACAGTGGGGAAGCACTTGCTATTTCTTTTGATGTCTCGAAGGCCTTGATAGAGTTTGAAACGCTAGCCTTTTGGATAAGATTCCACCGTGCGGCTTATACCCTGGTCTGATTGACTGAATAAAGAACTTACTGAGTGAACGGTCTCTACAGGTCGTCGTCGATGGCTTCACATCCGATCCTGTGGCAACTAACGCCGGTGTTCTTCAGGTGTCCGTTCTATCCAAAACTCCCTTCCTCGTGCATATTAATGATCTGCTTATGCCCAGTTTATGTAGGTAGGCAGAGAATAGCACAGTTATAAAAAAATACCAACCAAGTCCTCTAGCCAGTCGGGATCAAATCCAGTCGGAAAGAGAAGCTATGTTAGAGCATGAGAATCTTATCAAATTCAACGCCTCCAAAAAATAAGCGTGTTTCTTTACTGCAAAAAAGAGTCAGCTCAACTTGTTTCTTTCTTTCCGAAATGTATCACTGGAATACACCGACCGCCTTCAGTTGTTGGGAGTTCACATATCCTCAAATATGAACTTCGGGCAGTTCATTGAGTCTAAGGTCAAGGCAGCTGCAAGGAAGCTAAGAGTCCTTGCAATGGTGCGGCGATATTTCACGCCGGGACAGCTGCTTACTTTATATAAAGCGCAAGTCCGGTCGTTCATGGAGTATTGCTGCCATATATGGGCTGAAGCTGCAAAATGCCACCTAGCGGCTTTGGACTCACTAGAAAGGCGTACTAAGAGGCTTATCCGTGACCTGAATTTGGTTAAAATCAATTATACTAGCCTCGAACACAGAGGCAAATTAGCCAGCCTTTCGATTTTCTACAGGATATAATATTTCGGAGAGTGTACCCTTCCACCATCGGACAACCAGAAGTTTGGCCAGTCTCTACCCTTTCGTTGTTGTCTTACCACGCATTCGAACCAAACGCTTTGTTCGTTCATCATGCGAACAGCTAAGGAGCGGAATAAGTTGCCAGCATCTGTCTTTCCATCCGAATATCTTCAAGGCAAGAGTGAATAGGCTTTTGTTAAGTCAGTGCGCTTCACCACCTTAGGCTATATCACCAGTTACCATCAGTTGGGATTGTAGTTAAGCGCTGGTTTAGAATAATAAAAAAATAATAACGCTGAATTGGGTAATGCTCAGCGTTATTTTTTATTTTATATTTTATAGAATTATAAGTTTACAATAACATTGAAACACATGTCCATCTAATATTTCCCCATTATAGAATGAGACAAAGAGCCAAGTACTCAGAGTACTAAGCCACTGACTAGTGGTTTCGAAGAGTCATTAAAAAGAGAAAAACCTTAGAAAATAGCGAACACTTATGCACATTCAAAGTAAAATGCTCAGTAAGGCATTGGCGTTTTGCTGCGGTGTAAAATACCATCGATTATTGCAAGCAAGAAGTAAAGCATTTGAATTTTCCTGGGGTCGAGTAATTGTATAAATTAGGTTTGCTTGACACCTATATGATTACAAAAAAATTAGTATTGCCGAAGAGCCGAAGATACATATTTGTTAAAAATAAATTTTACTCACCAATTACTATTGTTTTCGTTTTTCATAGACATATAATTTTTTGTAAAATTTGTATTATTGCTAGAAATATATATATCATGTGTTGTTTTCACAAATATTGTTGATTCTGTAGAAGACGTAGTAACATTTATTTCATCAGATTCAGGTAATAATGATTTCGTATAAAGTACAACTTCTTTTGATGATGCATTGGAAAAATTATAAAACATGGTCGTTGCAGATAATTCAATGGTAGATTCAGAAGGATCACTTTTGCTGTAAAAGTTAGATTGCTTTGTAATTAGGTCCTTAGTAGTAGAATACGGTGCCATCGTAGAAGGTTTTGTTTCTTCTAAAACACATATGGTGCTTTCACACTTTAAAGAAGTGTTTGAGCAATCATCGATGCAATCACACTCTTTTGCACTATTTGTTAAAGATTTACTCATAAAAGGAGGTTGACAAATGCATTCATCTGGTGCCACACATGTACCATTTACACAATTTTTACAGTTTGGAACACAAACCATTGAACTCAAAGTTTCATTATAATTTGGGTCGATTTCGTATCCATTAAAACATTCGCATTTATTTGGAGCAACACAAGTGCCATTACCACAAGGAGTTTCGCATTGTGGAATACATGAATTACTTGTTTCGTTTTTTAACCATCCTATATAGCAACTACAGGTTTCAGGAGCGATACAGTCACCATTAGAACATCCACGAGAGCAGTAAGGTTTGCATAAATTATTTTCTGATGACCTAAAGCCAGGAAGGCATTCACATGTATCTGGCGCAACACATGTTCCGTTATAACAGTATTCTGTACATATAGGTTCACATGTTTCGTTTTTCAGACTATATCCAAAGTCGCATTGACAATTATTCGGAGCTACGCAAGTTCCATGTAAACATTCGTTTGAACATATCGGCTTACAAATATGGGAACTTACTGCATCGCGCGTATAGCCATCGTTGCAAGTACATACCCCAGGCGTTTGACAGGTACTGTTCACGCAGCTTGGCATACATATGGGTTCGCATTCAATTCTGAAATAAAATTAACATGCTGTCAGAGTTTAAAGGTTTTGAATCATTAATAATTATATTAATTTTACTTACCTCTCCGAGGTATTACTGACATCTATGTATCCATTGCAGCAAATTTCACGACTCTCAACTATTTTTCTCTGTAGAGTGAAACAAATTATCACATAAAATATTTCTCTAAATATCGTGCATACTCGTATATGTATAAGATTTGAAAACTATGATATATACATACTCAATTATTTGTATTTTTTTTAAGTTTCCTTTTATAAAAATTAGATAGTGTGATATTAGTGACATATTTTACTTTGTTAAAGTTTGACAATACAGTTTAGTACATTGTGAGTTCACATTGCATCAATTATTCAAGGTTGACTGCCTATATCACTTTTCTACCGACTTCAAAAAGAAGATGGTACTCAATTCGACTGTATGATTTTTATGTGTATTACCTCATACCTTTTTACTGGGTGAACCGATTCCGATGATTCTTTTTTTAGTTTGAAAGCTGATGCTTCACATGTGGTCCTATATAAATTTGATTAAGGTCTGGCTAATAGTTTTTGAGTTCTTTTTAATAATTAATATTGAAGTCGGTTGTTATATAAAATTTTATTTTCACTTATTATGCAAAATTAAATTAATGTATATAGAAGTCAAGATTGAAATATTTACTATTAAGAATTAAGCTAATGACGCCTTCCTTAAAAAATTGCCTGTAGAACATAGAGAGACAGGCAGGTTGGTGAACGATGTGCCTAACTGTTGAATTGAGATCAATATTGGTTGATACGTACATACACTTAAATTGAAAATTGTACGATGAATTGTCCTTGAGTGATATTTAAACCACGAAATGAAACTCAGTTATTAGAAAGAAAAAAAAATAGACATAATATATTATTTTCTTATAATTTCATAAAAAGTTATTATATTACAAAATTTCGATTAAAAATGGTTACATGCATAAAATATCGATACTAATGGTTATAAAATACATACTGGTACAATCCTATTATCAGTAAAGAATCCGATCCTTGTTTTAATGCAGCCGTACCAACATTGTCCTCGATAAGTCTCCCTGTATGTGTACCTGTATGATTGTTGCTGCCATCGAGTGACTCTGAAAAAACAAAGTATAACTTAGATATCACTTGTTTTACTAGCACAACTCTATTTATAATTCGAATACTAGCAGAAGTAATAAATTGTGCGGCTTACATTAAAGTACCACAAGGAAATTTGGTACAGTAACAATTACTCAGACTAACAAATCCTTAACCAATGTCAGGAAGGATTACACAACGTAAGATTAAGAGGAAAACAGAGACAAAGGAAACCCAAAGCACAGTTTGGTTATCAAACAAATAACTATTGTCTTTGCCGTTGAAGGTAGGATTTCTCTTAAAAGTCATGCTTGGAAGGTGGATTGATGATGTCGGTACCAAACGTCTTCCACCTTTGATGCTGTTGCCCATCGACTGGGAATTTTACGTTTTGCGTAAACGAGATGTTTTGATGACATAAACGCAGTGAAACGGGTTCTTTTATACTGCCTCCACACAGTAAAATTGTGTTTTTATATAAATATATATGATTCCGACCGCTACCTTGATAGTAAACAATCAATCTTGTAAATAAGATTAAACAAATGTTAATTGGTATATATTTGGTCAAAATTTACTCATACTCATAACGCTGGAATAAGGTTGTAGTAAACGCAGAACAGATAATATCGACCAGGCTAAATTCCGTTTATAGGGGTCAGTATCAACGGAGAGTAGCCATCTGCACAGCACAGGATAGGATTATAGTGCACGGGTTGACTGTGACGGTGACTCTCATAGTTCGATGAGACAGTAATCTAACACAATCTGAGAGAGATTTACATGCTTTCCGAGGCACGGGCATGAAACAAAACCAACTGGCACTCATATTGTACTGGAAATGATAATTTTCATAACCAGTACATGTTTGGTTTACATTTTTAATTACATTTTTAAGCCGCCAGACGATTATCAGGGTCTTGTTATTTTGTCAGCTAGGTGCATTACATCCTGGTGAGTATGATGCTTGAAAAGTTTGCATTTATTTTTTACCCTTCCACAAAATTTATACGGATTATATAAAAAATCTTGAAATATAATAATTTCTCTTCTTTAGTCTTTCTTCAATAAAATAGTTAAGAAAATAGTCAAAATAATTTCAAGTTCTTATAAAATAAAGACAAACATTACTCACACAACTCTTTTTGTACATATTTGACAGTGATATTTTACAAAAACAAAACACAACAGAAACAAAATCCAAGCAGAAAAACACTTTTCTAACATTTTATACTAAATAACACAATATTTAACTTTTATTTAGACCTGTATAGCATTACCCGATAGGAAATGACACAGTAAAAGAGTACAAGAAATGAAGCATATCAGCGCACACCGAAATTATGGTGTCCATTCATTACATTTTTTCGGAACAGTACCGATTTACAAGAAATATTTATTTAAGGAATCAAATAAAAAGATTCTAATGTTATTTGTAAACTATTGGAAAATAAGGTCAAATTTTGACTGTACGTCCCGAGTCGTAACTAAATATGCTGCCATAATACAGCTGCAGCGTGGCTCTACCAAGGTATAAATCCTATTTGAAATAAAAATAGAAGTATAATTTTTTAATAATTATAGGTTACAAATAATATATATTCGTAAGCGTGTTGAAAGGACAAAGTTAATATTAATATCCATATATTACTGCGTTCGAGATTTTTTAGGTTTTAAATCATAAAATTATAAAATATGTATTATTTTTTATGTTTATGCAACGTTAAGATACTCGAGAGATAAGATAATATATCGTAAAAATTCACTCTCATCATTTTAACAAACGCCCAAAAAAATTATAACTTCAAATAAATAAATATACCTACATACTGTGATGGATTGGACTAACGAATCCACTATTAAATTTATATAATTTTATCAAGGAGTACCCGTGACAAGGGGTCCCAGAAATCGTTTTTAAATACATATTAATATAGTAAATATTTGTGAATCTATAAATATTAAGTAGACATAGTCGTAGCAACGATATGCACATCATCCATGTTTAAAAGATCTACGTAGAATGAATACAGACAAATTTGTAAACGAGTCGTACTCGTTCGGCGAGTTACTCGACGAGTTGTTCGTCCGATAATCCAAACGTGCCATTAGGCGTTACATACTGGATACAGCCATGTTACAGACGATTGCAATGTGAATAAATTTTACATGGCATGTACACCACACATTTGGTGTGTCACTTTTAAATAACTACGGCGCAATTTCTAGTTTCATACAGTATTGGCAATGTTAAGAAATTTTTAAATACTAAAGTATATTAAAAGTATGGCTACCCATGAAATCATTATAATATTATAGATAATAACATTATGACAAATCGTACATCCGTTATATGTGTATTGAAGTTAAGCGATAGTGGCAAATTTATTTCAATGTATATATGATTTCATTAATATTTATAAATAGAGATGTAAATTATGCGTGAACATTCATATATTTAATTATATTATCTGAGGAAGCAAGTAAAAATGATAATTATAAATTATGGTATTATCTATAATTATCATTTCAAAACAAATGTTTTCTACTAACTAACTATATATTTTAGTTACTTTAAAAAGAATAAAAGAGTAGTTAAGTTCTGAAATAGCAAAATATTTAAAATACTTTTTTTGTTTTAAAATTTATAAATTGTAAAATAGTAGTATGTTTGTGCTTATAATAGTGTAACTTTTCTGTAAAAATACGTATCAACCCCCAACTCGATTGAAGTCAATGGAAAGTCGTACCAAACAATATCCATCTCCCTCACACTTTTTCTTATCTTGTCATGAAAGAAATATTATTTTAAATGACGCTTCATTTTAATAGACGCTAGTATATAATTCATTTATTTGTATTTGTTAATGAATAATATAATATGTTTATCAATAGTAAAATACTACGAAAGGAACTTTTTATAAAATAAAAAGAAAAAGCTAGTCTTTAATATACTTCATAATTGTCAGCAACTAGAGGGTAGTGTTTTCAACAATCACATAGCTGTGTTACATGGACGTTAGATTTCAGCTATGCCTTGAACCCCACAACACTAAAGAGTGTCCTCGGCCTAAAGACGCCAAATCCCCACCCGCGTGTGTCCTGTGTAAACAAACAGGCCACCCGGCAAACTACAGAGGCTGCCCTCGCGCACCTCAACCTCGCCCCAGTAGGCAAGCTCCACCGCCGGTCAATGACCGCTTATTCCCGGCTCTTTACCAACGGATGCCCCGTCAGGGCCTTTCTCAGCCCATTCAGGGCTTCTCTCGGCTCTTTCAGGGTCCCCCTATGCCCCCTCAGGGATCTCTTCGGCCCCCTCCGGGCTTCTCTCAGCCTATGCAGCTTCCAGTCTTTCCCTGGGGCCCCAAAAAGGCAGACCCACCGCGGACATCCTCCGCCCCACAACAATCACAGCCCTCAATGGCTGATGACCGAAAAACGGTGTATTCCGCTATTAGGAACATCAACCTTGGGGAAATCGCTGTGTTAGCACGCAAATTGCGCGCTGCGAGGTCCCCTCAGGACCGTCTCCTCGCTCTTGCAGAGCATCATAATCTTTTGTGCTCGTTGTAAGTTAACTTAATTAACTTAGCTCACAATGACAGAGCAGTTTGCTCTACCAAAATCTCACGGTCATATCAAACCTAAGGGTTTATCGCTTGTATCCTTTAACATTCGCGGTTTGCGAAATAACCTCCCAGAGCTTAAGCTCTTTCTTCGAAATCGTGAAGCCAATTTCCTCCTCCTACAGGAAACTAATCTCCATACTAAGGACACTAAAGGCCTTTCCATTAAAAACTTCTCTCTTCTTCGTAATGACAGACCCGATCGCCGAGGCGGCGGTACGGCCATTTATTACAAGAAAACACTTAACTGCTCTCCCATTTCTACTCCGCAACTTTCCAACATGGAAGCCACGGTATGCAGGCTAGCTATGACTGGACATCAGTCCATCTTCATAGCCTCCTGTTACATCCCTTCTAAAACCCTTCCCCTAAAAAAAGATTTTGAGGCTATTTTATCTCTAGGCAATTCAGTCATTATGTTTGGAGATTTTTACTCCAAGCATACTGAATGGACATGCCGTACTACTTCACGTAGTGCCAGGATACTGCTCGATATCACGCAGTCTCTTAACCTTACCGTCCACAGTCCCCTCGGTGCTACTCACTATCCCGATATCACCGAATACGCTCCCGACGTGCTAGATTTTGCACTATTCAAAAGTGTTTCCCTCAACCTCAAGGCAATCGAGACACTAGACGATCTAGGATCCGACCACAGACCGATCTTCCTCATTCTTGGCCATCAGCCACCCCCCTCAACACCCTCTATTAAAACCTTCACAAATTGGAAGGGCTTCAAGGAGTCCCTAGCAAAAGCTCTGGACTCACAGGACCCCCCCATCTCCCTATCGTCGGACTTAGACAGTCCCGAAAAAATCGACACCGCGGTCGATTCACTCTCCACCATTATTAAAACCTCCCTTAAGGAGAATGAAAGGGTCGTCCCGGTTGCTAATAATAGTGGGCTTCCCCTGCATATTAGCAACCTATTAAAAGGAAAAAAAAGGCCTCCAGGTCCTTCAAAAACGTCATTGCCCAGGCAAGGTCTGAGCACATCGGCAGAATTGGCGAGAAGCTAGTTCGCCTTCCTTCGGGAACCCGTGCATTCTGGTCTCTCGCCAAGGCTGTCCAAATGAACTTCTATCAGCCATCTCTTCCATCTCTGCACAGAGAGGACGACTCACTGGTCCATGCCGCAAAAGAGAAAGCCGATCTGTTGTGCTCTCTTTGTGCGTCTAACTCGACTCCAGATGACGGGGGAAACACACCGCCGACCATCCCGCAATGTGAGTGCTCCATGCCAGATGTGCGATTTACACAGCGCTCGGTTCGCAAAGCACTCTTCTCCCTGGACGTCAGTAAGTCGAGTGGGCCCGATGGAGTCCCTCCCATTGTGCTGAAGACGTGTGCTCCGGAGTTGGCACCGGTTTTAACGCGTCTATTCCGGTACACCTACTCTCAAGGCGTATTCTCGAATTCATGGAAGACAGCTTTGGTTCACCCGATCCCTAAAAAAGGCGACCGCTCAGACCCGTCCAACTACAGGCCTATCGCCATCACCTCCTTGTTCTCCAAAATAATGGAATCCATTATAAACTGCCGGCTCATGAGGTACCTTGAGGATTACCAGCTGATTAGTGACCGCCAGTACGGTTTTCGTCGGGGTCGATCAGCAGGTGATCTTCTAGTTTACTTAACTCATAGATGGGCGGAGGCAGTAGAGTCCAAAGGGGAGGCATGGGCCGTTAGTTTGGACATAGCGAAGGCCTTCGATCGGGTCTGGCACAAGGCGCTTCTTTCGAAGCTTCCTTCCTATGGGCTTCCCGAAAAATTGTGCAAATGGATCACCAGTTTCCTTGCTGATCGGAGCATCAAGGTCGTAGTAGACGGTGCATGCTTTGATTTCAAGCCTATCAACGCTGGTGTTCCACAAGGCTGCGTGATATCACCAACGCTGTTTCTCCTGCATATCAATGATATCTTTCTAACTGGTAGCATTCATTTCTATGCAGACGACAGCACTGGGGATACCTTATATACCGGTCGTGCCAATATTTCTCGGGAAAACGTCGCCGAGTACCGGGACAAACTTGTGTCTGAAGTCGAGTCTTTGCTTAACAAAGTCTCGGATTGGGGCCGACTAAATCTAGTCCAGTTCAATCCCCAGATGACCCAAGTTTGCGTGTTTACCGCTAAAAAGAACCCCTTTGTCGTCTCCTCAGTTTCAAGGCACTCCTCTTGCTGCCTCAGCCAGTATCGGAATCCTTGGCGTCGACATATCGATATAGGGTGCAGTTTCGTGGTCACTTGGAAGGGAAGGCCAAATTGACCTCGAAAAAGTTTGGCGTGCTCAACAGAGCGAGACAGTATTTCATGCCGGCACATCGCTTGCAACTTTACAAAGCGCAAGTTCGGCCCCACATGGAATACTGTTCTCATCTCTGGGCCGCGACACCCCAGTGCCAGCTCCTTCCACTTGCCCGCATTCAGCGCAGAGCGATTCGAATCGTCGACGACCGAGTTCTTTCTGATCGGCTCGATACACTGGCACTGCGTAGAGATGTTGCATCTCTTTGCGTATTTTATCGCATCTATCACGGGGAGTGCTCTGAGGAATTGTTTGGAATAATTCCAGCCGCTCAATTTCACCATTGCATATCG